ATGGATACCTCGATTGGTGGTATGAGTTGCAGGAAAAAAAGAACAAAAATGGGACGGGCACCAATAAGCGAATAGGCAAGGCGGCCGTGGCAACATCTGACTCTCAACTATCTTTGATTCCTGAAAATGATTATTTTCAGGATACGGACCCTTCATCAGAACCAGGTAATTTTGGTTTAGCTTGTGTTACATCCTCCAGTGACAAGAATAATAATTTATGGTTATTTGACTCCGGGGCAACTGACCATATGAATCAAGATGAAAGAGATTTTATTCAGAGGACCTCACCTCGACCCAGCAGGGTTGCGAATGCAAATGGAGTTATTTCCCCAATCACCGGGCTGGCTCTGTATCTCTGTCTCCCTCTCTACATTTATCTCACACTTTACTTGTTCCATCACTCTCACATAAATTATTGTCTGTAAGCCAAGTGACGGCTGAATTAAATTGCGTGGTACTTATTTATCCAACCTTTTGTCTTCTTCAGGATATTCTCACCAAGGAGATACTTAGGCGTGGTACTAAGAGAGAGGGGTTATACTACATGGAGGATTTCAGTGTCGGTCGCACTCATCATGTTCAGAGTAATGTGAATGAACGACAGATTTGGATGTGGCATCTTCGTCTTGGGCATCCATCATTCGGTTATTTAGAGCATTTATTACCTAGCATTTTTTCGAATAAATGTAATACCCGCATTTTAGCGAAAAGTCAACGCACTTCTTATCAATCAAGCATGAATAAAAGTAGTATTCCTTTTTCCCTAGTCCATTCTGATGTATGGGGCCCTTCACCTAGTGCTACAAGGTTTGGGGTTCATTGGTTTGTTACATTTATTGATGACTGCACTCGCATGACCTGACCCTATCTATTAAAAAATAAAGATGAAGTGTTCAAAGTATTTCAGTCATTCGATGCCATGATTTCAAACTCAGTTCTCTGCCAAACTAAGAGTTCTTCGTTCCGATAATGGTGGTGAATTTATCAACCAACGGTTTCGCACTTACTTTGAACAACACGGTCTCATTCATGATACGTCTTGCCCTCAAACCCCTCAACAAAACGACGTTACTGAACGGAAAAATCGACATATTCTTGAAACTGCAAGAGCTCTCCTTCATGGAACCTATATTCCAAACTGTTACTGGCCTGATGCAGTGTCCACAACTGTATACTTACTCAATCGGATGCCCTCTAAAGTCTTAAATTTTAAGACTCCACTCCAGGTCCTATCATCCCATGTTGCTCTACCACCAACTCTAATGCTCTCTCCTCGAGTATTTGATTGTGTGGCCTATGTACATCTTCACAAGAATCAACGGACAAAACTTGACCCATGTGCTCTCCGATGTCTTTTTGTAGGATATGCTACACATCAAAAGGGTTATCGGTGTTATGATCCATCCTCCAAACAGACCTATGTAACTATGGATGTTACCTTCTCGGAGTCTGACACATTTTTTTCTCCAACATCCAATTCTCCTCTTCAGGGGGAGACAAGGGATGAAGAGTTGAATTGGTCGAAGTTTGAGTGGTCAAAAAATACTGAGATAGAGACAACTCCGATAGATATTGACTTAAGGAATGATATGACTCAAGATCCGGAACCAACTGTAGAAACTGAACCAAACTCCACCGAACCAGAGCCTCCTTTCTCTTCAGTATCCGTAGGCCCATCTCCTGAGAATATCTCTGAGGTAAGCACTCCTTCACATATAAGCAATTTAGATACTCCTGGTGGCTATAATTTACCTTTCAGGCATAATCGAGGCAAACCGCCAAGTAGATACTCTCCAGACATTGAAAAACAAAGATCAAGATATCCAGTTGCCAACTATGTATCCACCACGAAGTTATCTGATCCACTGAAAGCTTTTGTACATGTTCTCTCTTCTAATCATGTTCCAATAGGAATTCGGGATGCCTTATCAGATTCCAAATGGACTCAGGCAATAAAAGATGAGATAGAGGCACTAGTAAATAATAACACGTGGATACTAGTTCCATTACCTGAAGGAAAGAAGACAGTAGGATGCAGATGGGTATTTTCCATCAAACACAAGGCAGATGGATCCATTGAGCGGTACAAAGCAAGTCTAGTTGCGAAGGGGTATACACAGACATATAGGATAGACTACTAAGAGACGTTTTCACTAGTTGCTAAACTAAACACTGTTAGAATACTATTGTCCCTCGCTGCTAATCTTGACTGGCTACTACATCAGCTTGATGTGAAGAATGCATTTATTCATGGCGACCTCGAAGAAGAAGTCTATATGGACCTCCCTCCGGGCTATACAAGGTCTTCACAAAATGTCGCGTGTAAATTGCAGCAAGCATTATATGGCTTGAAGCAGTCACCTCGAGCATGGTTTGGACGATTTAGTGTGGCAATGAAGAAATATAGGTTCAAACAGAGTGACTCAGACTATACACCCTTTCTTAAGCATAATGGAGGCAAAGTAACTGCATTGATAGTATATGTGGATGGCGTGATTATCACAGGGGATGATAAAGAGGAGATATCCAGAATTCAAAAACAGCTGACGTCTGAGTTCGAGATAAAGAACTTGGGAGGTCTCAAGTATTTCCTGGGAATTGAAGTGGTTAGATCAAGACAAGGCATATTCATATCCCAAAGAAAATATGTGCTAGACTTGTTGGCTGAGGTGGGGATGTTGGAATGTAAACCAGCAGATACTCCTATCACTCAAAACCTTAAGCTGAGTGAGTGTTCAAATCAAGTGCCAACGGATAAAGGGAGATATCAAAAATTAGTTGGCAAACTTATATACTTGTCTCATACTCGTCCATCTATTGCCTATGCCGTAAGTGTAGTTAGCCAGTTTATGCATAGCCCTAGCAAAGACCATATGGATGTTGTGACTCGAATACTTCGATATCTAAAGTCCTCACCAGGGAGGGGACTGATGTTTTCAAAGAATGATCACTTGAAAGTTGATGGCTATACAGATGCCGATTCGGTGGGGAACATTTCAGATAGGAGGTCTACCTCAGGCTACTTCGTGTTTGTAGGCGGTAATCTCGTTACATGGAGAAGTAAGAAGCAAAAAGTGGTATCATTATCGAGTGCTGAAGCAAAGTTTCGTGGAATGGCAAAAGGACTTTGTGAACTCTTCTGGATCAGAAAACTGCTCACTGAACTTGGCTTTGCTCCTATTACTGAGATGGATTTATACTGCGACAACAAAGCTGCCATTGCCATATCTCATGACCCGGTTCAACATGATATAACAAAACATGTGGAAATAGATCGACACTTCATCAAGAAAAACTTGGTAGCAAAGACAATTCGTTTCCCGTTCGTAAAGTCTGAGGATCAACTAGCAGACATACTCACAAAGTCAGTTTCAAACAAGGACTTTCACAACTCATTTGACAAGTTGGGTATCAGAGACCTGTATGCATCAACTTGAGGGGGAGTGTTGGCGTGAGCTGTTAGAAATCTTTTTCTGGAAACATAAATCATATATAATTGTATCATTTTAAGGTAATAGAATTAGGCAATTATGTGTAGAATCATTTAATTAGCTACAGATTTGTGATTATCCAAAATTAGGAGTTTTTTTTCCTATATAAACTTTGTAACCAACCTATTGACCGTATGAATGAAAATTACCTCTTGTGTGTATTGTGACAGTAGTTTTCCATGTTTTGGTGGGATTTTGAGGTGATTTTTGTTGGTGGATCTTGTGATGGAGGTGGTGGATATGGTAGTGTCACAAACAATGTTGGCATTAGGGGTGGTGGTCACACTCTAGGTGTGCAGGTAGATTATGAGAGATGTCTTAATCTGTGGTTGTGGTGGTGACTGTAATAAATATAAAATGGTGGTGGAATTGGCATGCCAGTGTGATCGTGTTTCTGTGATGGGTTGATTTGTTTGAGGTTGTGATAGTGGTTCCAAAAATGACGATGGTGGTGGTGCCACTGAAGGCAATGGTGAGATAGTGATCACAAGTGTTGGTGGTGGTCACAAATTATTTAATTGATTGTAATCATTAAATTGGTTTAATCCGTGACCAATAAATAATATGTAACTAGTGAAAAAGATAAATTGTGATCAATAAATAATGTGGGACTTAAAAAAATGTTAATTTGTGACTGTATAATAAGTCGTGACTTATAATTTTTGAATTGTGATTGTTGAATAAATGTGACCTGTAAAATTTTTGAATTCTAATTGTAAAATAATCCGTGACATATAAAAATTTTGATTTGTGATTGAAAAATAATATATGACTAATTAAATCATTAATTTACGATCAAATTGTATAGATCCGCAACCTTAATATATTTAATTAATAAAATATATAATTAATTAATTAAACTATAAATAAATTTTAATAAATATCTTATTTTTGAAATTTAAAACTTTTATTTTTAATTTTGAAATTGGCGATACTTAATTTCTTAATTATGAATTTTTCCACTGAATTATTTTGTTGTAAGAAGGTTTGGTGGCTAGGGTTTATGTATATCGGCCTGTAGTTGTTATTTGTGAGTTTAGGCCTAGATAATGGTTTAGGGGTCTATGGGTTTGGTTAAATCAAACGAAATTCTTCTAATCTAGAATTTTATTAGAATAAACGAACAAAAATAATTTAATTAAAACGCTTATAATTGAAATTAAATTCTCTATCAAATTTTATTTAACTTCTATCTTTATCTTATCCGGATTTCCATAGGGGTTCTGTAGCAAATGATTTTACAGTTTTGGCCCCAGAGAAAGTTTAGAAGGCTGTAAATTTCAAATTTCCAGGTTAAGGTTCTAAAATTTAACCTTCTCAAATCTAGGGCAAATGGGATCTAGTTTCCTACATTACGGGACGGACCGCCAGGCGGCAGACGGGCCAGTTCCTGCTTAGAGAAAGTGGGCTGAAAAATAGAAAGCCCAAGAACTAGCATCTGGACTAGACACATGTCGATCATATTAAAGACCACCCCGCTTGTATAAACCCTACCATTTCATTAGACGTGGTGCCATTTCTCTCTCTGCCGGCAGTCCTGCAACTCGTTTCTCTACTCTACGGTCATCTTCCGTCAAATGTTTTATATTTTTGCCGTTTACTCAAGAAAATTTGCATGAATAACGAGATGCCTGAATTTATTCTGAAGGTCGGGCTGATTTTTTGCTCATATCTGTAATTAATTTTCAATTTATTTCACTATTTAGTAAATGAAGCTTTCTATTAACTTCGTTCAATTAAGTAACATTCATATTGTTGCTGTTTGGCGTAAAGCTTAAATTGCAGTTTGTTTACTTCAAATTGGACTGTAATAAGAAGATATACAGTGAAAATCTAGTATTCTTCTCAATATTTTCTTGACTTCCTTGTTTTATATTCTTTCTTTCTTTTCTCTCTCTCTCTAGATAACTCGTGTAGTTAGTTTTTGAATTTTGATACCTGGAGTTTTGATTAGTTCAGAGATTGGGGCTAATGTGTACGTACTTGTGTGTTTGTGTGGCACTCCTCTTACAGTACCAAAAATGTTATGGCATTGTTATGTTTTGCTAAAAAATCTGCCCGGAGTGTGTCAATTTGATATGATCTGCAACTCTGTCCCATGAAGTTGTGATGTAAACAATTTTTACATTTCTACTTCTTCCAAAATGTCCTGACTGAGGTGTGAAAACAAGGTCATAAACTCATAATTAACTGGAGCAGATATTTAATAAGAGAAAGGACGTGTTGGGAGCTGGTCTCACTAAATATGCAGCCAAATTGTCATGTTACAAAATACAAGTGAATTCGGTCCATTTATGAATAAATACTGTTTTGTACTTTGAGCACACTTCTGATAGATTGTAATCACTTTCAGATTATGGTCACAAGATAGATTTCATGGAACAAATTTGTGCTACTATTCTACTGTATGATCTGTTTAAATGTAGTGTTGTGATGTATTTTCCAAACTGAATGTGCAATGTTGCAGAACTGAAAAAGATTGATAAGTGCACATTACGATGGCAGAGTCTCAGAAGATAGCATCATCCTAAAAATTGAAGGAAAAAAAAATTCATCGTTCAACGATTTGGGGCGGGATGAGTGAAATGTTGGAGGACTTGAAAATGGAGGTGATTGGGCCATTTTACCATCTCTATCTGCCACGAAACCTTGGTGTGTGACCAATATCAGGGATCTTGTTGCATGGCCCAGTGTGGGAAAACCAAAACCAAATGCCATTGCCAATGAGGCCAATGTTCCCTTTTATAAGATCTGTGCTATTGAATTGGTGTATGGAGTTTCAGGTGTAATTGTTTTTTGTTGCTCTTTGTTTTTTTGATGACGAATTTTTAATCATAAATCTTTTAGATATCTAATTGTGTTTTCACTTATAGTGATGACAGGGTAAATAGACCTATGCGTGTCATTTCTTTATTTTATTTTATTTTTATTTTCTATTTTTTATCTTGTCCACCTATTTGCTGCTAGTTGCTGCTAGTTTAACAATTGGACTAATTTCCCTTTTTTGTCTATTATGTGTGGGGTTTCAATCATGAACTTGGTTTTGTTCCTGCCCTTATTTACATATTTTTCAAGCTTGCTAAGATGTTTTATTTGTTGAATGTTTCAGCGACATCAGAAGAAGATATTAGAGAGCTATTTTCTATAGCTCACAAGGACAGCCCCATCCATTGTATTCATAGATGAAATAGATGCGATTGCAACTAAATGGTAAATTTCCAGTAACGTAATGGAGCAACAAATTGTCACAATACTAATGTCGTGCATGGATAAGTCATCGAGAATTGTCAAACCTATAAATGAAAGTGGAACTTTAGAGAATTCTGATTGCATATCTGTGTATGTACTCGTTATTGGAGCAACAAATAGGCCTGATTCTATTAATCCTGCATTGATGAGGCTTGGATGATTTGACCATGAGATTTAGCTTTTGATCTTATGAATATAGCTTAGTCCACTGCAGAGATTGTTGGAGCTGACTTGGCAGCACTTATGGACAAAGCTGGCAATCTAGCAAATGAATTGGATAATAGGCCAACGAAAGTATCAGGTTTCTACAGAACCTGTATAAGGGGAGTTTGTTGAAGAATGGTGGAGACAACCTTGATCGTGTGAAGAAATAGAAGGCTCGGCATGACAATGGCTGATTTTGAGGTAACATTGCAACCTAACATTAAATGAATATGAAAATTGTGAATGTATATCGATGCTATATGCTTGCCCTTTTATTTCGTACCTTTGTTCTCCTGCATTGTTATCAAATTGGATTTTGTTTATTTGGTTATTTTTTACATATCGCCTAGTTCTTTAATTAATGTGTATTGTTTGTTGGTTTTGCGGTTCAATCTATTTTTTTCCTGGTCATGGATGGACATTGATGTTGATTTGGTCATTTGTCTTTCAACTGTTGTAAGTGGTATATTTTTTCATGGGCTAGGTTTTGGTCTATCTTTGCTTTGGAATTCTGTAGCTTCCTTGTTTTTAGATATAGATTTGATGTCTTATTGGAACTCTTCTGTCATGTTGGTATGTATCCTGTGTAAATAGGTTTTGCAGCTTGACACCTTCTAGCAAAATCTCCTTTCTTGTAATATTAATTATCTGAACTTATCTTAGGAAGGCATTTGTCTATACTCTAGAGGCATCGTTTTTCCTTTCTCTTATTGTTTTTGGTTCCCTCATTTCCTTTCGGTTTCTGATTTACTCTTCTATGTGATCTCCCCCTCAATTAATTGCTAAACACACGATTTTGTAGAAAAGTGCTAAAATGGTTCAACACTAAATCTTTGTGCTCCTCATTATTTACTATCAATTGGATATTTTATAGATGAGTTGTGTAGATTTTCGCTTTTTGGAGTTCCATGTCGCTATTTTTTCAGAAGCAAAGATCATAGCCCTTTGATCTATTATAGTTGTTGAGAGGATTTGCAGTTTCAATTGTTCTTAAGTAATCAGTTTAGATATTTGATTCACAAGAAAGATCGTCCCCCTTGGTCTAAGTTCAACATTGGGATGTTGTTCATGGTTCAATATCGGCTTTTGGTCAAGGTTTAAGATTCTCTCAGTTGAGGAGAAATGATGCAATATTACAGGAGATGATTGTTTATTAAGTTTCCTATTTTGATTTGTATTTTAGGAAACATGATTAGAGTGTGATTTAATAACTTTTATAACATTTCTTTACTTAGTTATGATTTTTGAAACCCTATATAAAGGGGGTTATGTCGATATACAGTGGTGATAATGAAGGCCCAGTGAGGCAGATGCCTGCACTGGACTTTGGGCTGCTACGAATTATGCATGGCAGCCCAGGCCCATGTTAAAATAAAAATAAAATAAAATTGAAATGGGCCAATTACAAGCTACAACATTACCCATATGATTGAGGAGGAGGCTTGAGCCTTAAATGGTGGTAAAAGTCGAGAAGAAGAAATCGTAGAATATTGCCCCTGTTGGTTACTGCTGGCTTCAAGCCTTAGACCCAACGCGAGTCGCGCGACGACAACTGCCTGCTTCAAGTCTTCGACGGGACGATGACTGCTTGCTTCCAATTTCTCAAGTTCTTGTATGGTTGTATCTTTATTCTTTATGTCTGCAACTCATTTTATTTCACATATCAATGAGAATTGAGAGATGCAATTTGTTTTGGTTTTCTTCTATTTTACAGATTCTCTAATTCATTTTATATATCACTTAATTTCTTGGTAAAGATTGAAATTGGATTTTAGGGTCTAAACTATAATTTAGGACTTTAATATTTTTCATCCACATTTTGATAATTTGACTCTTTGTTAGTTAACTTTTCAATCTTGTATTTTTTCATACCACAGGTAGCAAGTTTGTACATATTAGGCCTCGTTTGGTACCCATTTTTTCAAAATGCATTTCTCTCTTTTTTCAATCACACATTCTTCATTAAAATAATATTACACGTAAATAAAAAATTTTTCTTTATTTTTAATGCATGCATTTCTTATCAATTTACTATTCTAAAATGCATTTTTACATAAAAATGGCTCCCAAACACCCTCTTAGTGTATTGTTGGATCATTGGAGGGGTTTGTCATTTGTGGCTTGGAGAACCTATAAAATAGAATTATGTAAGTGTAGTGAATTGGAGAAGCGGAGTAGATTACGCAATTGGATTGGAAATGAGTGGACGAATGATAGTCTTATCGTTTACGTAGAGAAAGATGTATTCTTGAAGATTGATAATGAAGTGATTTTACAAAAATATCAAAGTATGAGAACTCGTAAAGAGTAATTTTAAGGTATTTCATTTTAAGTATAATGTTTGTGTACTAGGTTATAATGCGATTATTTTTTTTTTTGTAAATTTTATAATTTTGTCCGCACCGAAAAAGCTTTCTAGGTCCGTTTCTGGAAGCCTCTATATGTCCCTCTTCCTAGTCTAGATGAGTGTGGTTTAATCTTGATAGCTATTGGTAGGAAGAAGCCAATAGATGCCAACGTGGAGTTGATGGCAATTAGAAGTGACAGTACTTGTAAAAATTTCAGTGGAGCTGACTTATTGCTCTAGTTTGTCCATACTTGATTGTTTCTTTATAGAGTAACAATATTTTAGCAAAAATGGTCTTGATTATTATTAATATTTAATTAAAATAAATAGTTTTTAGTAGATTGGAAGGTTCATAATTATTTGATATGGGTAATTAGTGTTAGTTAAAGCATAAATAACAAAGATGACGAAAAAATGCTTTGTTAATATTTTGTGAAGCATAAAAAAGTCATCCTAAAGAAGACTTGAATGAATGTCCTAGTGAGAAAATGGGAGTTGCATTCTATTTCTTCTCTCGTCACATAAATGTTCATCCCTTGTGATGATCAGTCACTAACTTTGCTACTTTTATTTTTGCTAGATGAATAAAACTGTTATGGAAGCTATTGTGGACAAATAAATTCGGGGAACGAAGTTTTATATGCTGCACTATTGACCATCAAATACACTTCAATCGGGCATTGGAGAAAATATTTCCATATGTTTCAGGTGCAGTATGAATTTTTATCAGACTTGATTTTGTTATTGTAATATAACTTAAGAAAAATAAGTTTATCTTCTCAATTTTTATTCTTGACTGCAGAAGATAAGAAAATATCAATAGTTGTCAGAAAGCTTCATAGCGACTTTAGAATGAACCTGATCATGTGAAAAAAACACTCGTAGGATTTATAGTTATATGTACACTTTTAGTGAAGAAACAAGCGAAGAAATTTTTTGTTCTGAAGAAAATAAGTCTTAAAAGTTTTTGATTTAGGAAATTCAGTTTAATTTTTCATTTTTACATTCTTGTCGATTAAGCTTTATAAGTCATAATCTTTAGGAAGTTCAATTTAATTTTTCATTTTTACATTCTTGTTGATGAAGCTTTAGGAGTCATAATTTTTTAAGACTTATTTTCTTCGGAATCAAAAAATTTCATCGCTTGATTCTTCACTAAAAGTGTACAAACAACTATAAGTCATAGGAGTGCTTTTTTCACGTGATCAGGTCCATTCTAAAGTCGCTGTGAAGATTTCTGACGACTGTTCATATTTTCTTATCTTCTGCAGCCAAGCATAAAAATTGACACAGTTACATTTACTTTTCTTGAGGTATATTACAATAACAAAATCAAGCTTGATAAAAATTCATATTGCATCTAAAACAGATAGAGATATTTTCTCCGATGCTCGATCGAAGTGTATTTATTTGATAGTCAATGGTGTAGCATATAAAGCTTCGTTCCCCAAATTTATTTTGTTTGCAATAGTTTCTATAGCAGTTTTATTCATCTACCATAAATAAAAATAGCAAACTTGAAACTGATCGTCACAAGGGATGACATTTACATCAAGAGTGAAAGAAGAAATAGAATGCAATTCCCATTTTCTCAATCGAACAACATTTGTTCAAGTCATATCAAATTTCTTTAAGATAACTTATTTATGCATCACAAAATATCTTGAACGGCAACAAAGTATTTTTTTCGCCATCTTTGTCATTTATGATTTAACAAACACTAATTATTTACATCAAACAATTATAAACCTTCCAATCTACTAAAAATTGTTTATTTTAATTAAATATTTATAGTAACCAAGATCAGTTTCTAAAATATTATTACCCTATGAAGAAAACAATCAAGTACAGACAAACCAGAGCAGATAGGTCAGCTCCACTGAAATTTTCACAATCACTGTCACTTCCAATTGCCATCAAGTCCACATTGGCATCTATTGACTTCTTCCTACCAAGAGTTGTCAAGATTAAACCATGCTCATCTGGATTGAGAAGAGTGACATAAGAGGTTTCCAGGGGTGGACTCAGAAAGTCTTTTTAGTGCGGGCGATATTAGAAAATGCACAAAAGAAATAGCGGTATTATAACACAATACACAAATACTATACTAAAAATGAAATATCTTACAATTGTTATTTACGAGTTTTCATACTTTGATATCTTTGTGAAATTACTTTATTACTAATCTTCAAGAATATATCTTTTTCCGCATAAACGATGTGGCTATCATTCATCCACTCATCTTCAATCCGATTTCATAATCTATCATTCACAATATTCATGGCAGAAAATACTCTCCACAGTAGTCATGGCACCCGGAAGAATTAGTGTGAAAGTCAAAAGCTTGCAAACCAGTAGGTATGCTCTATTCTTATTTTTCAAAACTAATTTATGTGCTAGAGCGCTAAAGCTATTCAATTCTTCGAACTCTTTATTAAAGAGTGTTAAAAATATAATTATCAAGTTGATATTCCACTGTGAAGAGAACTACCATTGGAAAATTTTGTGGATAAAAATTTCTTTTGTGAAAAGCAAAGAATGAATTTTGTGGACACAGGCAAGCTAAACAAAAGGATCAACTCAGTATTTATCTTTGAGAAATGATCATTCAATTCTTGAAGTTGCATATCAATGATAGCGTAAAATAAATCTACCAAAAAGTAATGCAAGTTGGTTACTTGTGGAGGATTACGATGAGAGCGAATACCATAAACATAGCATCCATGTTTGGCACATCAATATAATGATTCTGACAAAAGGAACTTGTTGCAAAAAAGAATCCCATCATCTCACAGAAGTTGGGAGTTGTTTTTTGCAAACATTCACCATGTCCATTGCATTGATAATGTCTTGATCTTTCCTTTGCAATTCCTGTGACAAATCATTTGAAATCCTCAAGACACTTTTCATTAAATGTAGATTAAATGCAAAATCAAACGATTGTATTGACTCCAATAAATTGAATGCATTACTTTTTTTTTTTTTTTATCACAAGTACTAGATTCATCTTCAACAGTTATTTCAAGTACATCAATAACAACCTTAAACATGCTAATCAAGCTAACCAAAGATTTATAATGGGATCACTAACGCGTATCACCTAAACGTTGAAGAGTGGTTTTTTGATTAATGCCCCGTCCACTTAAGATATCATCATTCTCCAATGCCTCAATAATGAAGTCTGATTGTTTCTCTTGTAGAAGATTACAACGTTTAGAAGATGTTATAACATTATTTATCACATTAGCAACCACATGAACGAATTTAATAATCGGTATATTCTTCTTTGCCATAGCTACTAATTGCGGTTGATGAGCAAAATTATGAGCATAAAAGGCACAGGGTTCTAATTTAAAATGAGTGCTTTGAGACCACTGAATTGACATTGCATATTGCTTGCCCCATCGTAACTTTGTCCTCTTAAATTAGAAATGCTCAAGTTATATCTAGAAAACTTGTTATCAATAGCGGCCTTGAGTGAGACAACAATGGTACTAGACACATGTTCAATACCTATGAAACATTCATTTACAAATTCATTTTTCACATGTCGTAACACAATTGACATTTGCTCCTTTGTTGACACGTCACGAGATTCATCAACTAAAATAGAAAATAATGAATCTCCAACATCTATAATCACATTTATCGTTTCAGCAGCACAAGCACTTGCTCTATTCTTTTATACTTTAGGGGATATTAGATTGCAATTTTGAGGAGCATTTTCCAACGTCACAGCCTTAACCTCATGATTATGATCAGCTAGGAATTGTAATTGAATTAGGAAGTTACCTTAATTGAGAGAATTTTTAAATTCATCATTACCCTGAAATGAAAGCCCTTGTTGCAACAAAACTTGAACACAGTCAATTGATGCAATAAAATAGACATAATAATCATGTCGCATTTGTTTGGACTGCTTGAAGAAAATTGATTGACCGTGTTGCTCTTGATTCATCAAGGCTTCACATTTAATGCGAGCTTGATTATGTGAACTTTTATGCTTTCCAACGTGAGTAGCAAGTCTCTTCTTAATTTTTTGATATGTAAATCCTTCACCAACAAATGAGTTGCCTCCACCTTGTTTCGCACTACTTGTTTTGAAAAGGTAAAAAGCTGTTTCTTCTGCCACACTATACTCCAAAAAGAGGTCAAGAAGGTGAGATCTCTTATTGGCAACCTTGACAAACCTTCAGGTATTTGTTCATTGCGTATTTAGGTGAGTTTTCTTTCTCTATTGGGTTAAACCTTTGCCAAACTCTTGCGTCATGGACTTAGGAGCTACTGAACATATGACCAACTCACAAAATATTTTTTTCACATATTTCCCATGTCCAAGCAATAGGAAAATAGTCACAACTTATGGTTCTTTGACCAAGGTAGCAGGTGCAGGAGATTTCAAAATAAGCCCATCACTGACCGTAAAATGTTCTCCATGTCTCTAGACTGTCCACAAATATTGTCTCTATACAAAAACTCACTCATGATTTACATTGCAATGTGGTTTTTCATTATAGTTAGTGTATTTCAGGACAAGGATTCGGGGAAGATGATTGGACATGCTAGAGAATGGGATGGGCTTTCCTAACTCGAATCACCGAGGCAATCAAGTATCATCAAGGGCAAATTACCTCATTCTTTTGTTTGAGTTTTTTCATCCAATATAGAGAGTGGCTTCACCATTGTTGACTTGGACATGTGTCATTTAGGGTTATTAAACATAATTCTCATGTTACTTGGATTTTTTGGCTCAAACATAAATCTGATGTTAGTACTGTTCATCCAAATTTTTGTTCCATGATTAAGAATCAATTTAAGGTCAATATCAAAAGGTTTGGGTTGGTTCAATCAAGTCCTATCTCCGTACTTTAAGAAGAATTAAGGGATAGTACACGAGTCATCTTATGTTAGTACTCTACAGCAAAATAGAGTAGCAAAAATGTAAAATAGACACCTTAAATCAACCTGAGCCTTCATGTTCCAGAGAGATGTACCTAAATCCTTTTGGGGAGAAGCAGTTCTTACAGCCACACATTTAATAAATCGTTTACCTTCCAGAATCTTGGGATTCAAGAGGCAAATGGAAATACTATCGACATTCTATCCTAACCTCACTACAAATAATCTTGTCCCTAGGATATTTGGGTGTATATCATTTGTCCATGACCATAGTCAAAATAGGGGAAACTTGGATCCTAGGGTGTTAAGATGTGTCTTTGTGGTTATTTGTCAATTCAGAAAGGGTGTAAGTGTTACCACCCTCCATTAAAGAAATTCTATGTCTCGGTGGTGTTACTTTCAATGAATTAGAGTCGTATTTCACAGCTCCTTATCTTCAGGGGGAGAATTCCAGATCAGTTCCTCATTCCACTATGTTGAATTCCGTGTCTCCTTGTTTGAACCTGTGCTCGAAAATCCTCAAGAAAAGATGGACTCTACTTTTGAAAATGTAAATATTTGGTAAGGGCAAGGTGTTTTCAAGGAAGATGGTTGTCCTTGAATCTGTGCAAGTACAAGACTCGAACCCAGATCTTGAGAATGCGGCAACAATTTCTAACCCTTCATTGCAAGCTAAAACTGAATCTAATGTGAGCAGTAATGACAGGACCTTCCCATTGCTCACAAACCGACATTTATATCCTCTTGCACATTTCTTGTCTTTTAAACATTCTTTACCATCTCATAGAGCCTTCCTTGTTAGCTTAAACACCATTGTCATTCCTACCACCTTATCGAAGGCTTTGTCCAATGAGAAATAGAAACAAGCTATGAATGTAGAGATAGAGGTCCTTAAAAAAACTTGGGAATTGGTAAAGTTGCCAACAAGAAAGAGATTAGTGGGATATAAAATGGGTTTATGTAGTGAAGTATAGGGCAGATGGATCGATAGAAAGATACGAGGCAAAGTTGGTGGCTAAAGGTTATACTTGATCATATGGAATCGATTACCTAGAGACTTTTGCTCCAATTGCAAAGATAACTGCTGTTAGAATCTTGTTGTCATTAACAACTAATTATGGTTGGGAATTGCAGCATTTTGATCTTAAGATTGCATTGTTTGCATGGAGAACTAAAGGAAGAAATTTATATAGAGGTCGTATTAGGTTATGGGAATAATTTGGCTGGTTATATTGTGTGTAAGTTGAAGAAAGCCTCTATGGACTTGAGCAATCACCAGAGATATATATAGACAAAGCTAAAGGGATCATATGCTGTACATTAAACACTCACCTTCAAGGGAGTCACAGTTTTCTTAGAATATGTTGATGACACAATAGTGATCGGGATTGATGATAAGGAGAAGATATCTTGCAAACCAGCAAGTACTCCATTAGATTCGAATGTTAGACTTGGAAAGGTAGAGGAAGATGCTGCAGTAGACATGGAAATGTACCAGTGCTTGTAGGAACCTATGTATCCGTCACACACATCCGGATATAGCGTATGCAGTGTTAGCCAGTTCTTGCATATCCCCAAGGAACTCTTGGTAGGAAGACCTATTTCATTTTTTTTTCTTTCACTCCTTTCACCAGTAGGTACCGACGAGGAGGCGAATCCAGTGCCACTGATCAGCCGTTGTGAGTGGCGAGTGTATTGCCTTAGGCGTTGTTGCGAAACGGAGCTTGAGTTCGTTGCATACAATGACGATCAGATCCCGTCGTGTACGACATTCAGATCTCGTCCCGAGCAGCAACGAACTCAGAGTGTTGCGCACAGTGGTGTACACTCTGGTTGTCACGATGGGTTTGTGATGGTTTTGTGGTTGATTTGTAGGAGTTTGGTTATGTTGCGATCTAGCAATGATGATAGTGTAGGAGTTTGGTGTGTGGTTACTATGGTGGTGGTAGGTTTGCATTGATGTGATGTAGTGGTTGTTGTGGTGGTGATTTTGCACAGTCTGGTGAGGCGACGGTGGTCATGGGTAGATGGGACGGGATATGAGCTATTTGTGACCAATTATTTGGTTGATTGTGACCAATAAATTGGGTAATTTGTGACCTAAAAAATGTAATTGTGACTCACAATTATTAAGTTGTGACAACAAAATTAATTTGGCAATTAATTTGATAATATGTAATTGATAAATGAATTGTGGTCAATAAAAGTTTTGATTTTGTGACCGATGAATAATGTCCTATAGAATTTTTAATTTGTGCTCGAGAAATAATTTGTAACCAATTAATTTGATAATTTGTGATGAAATTATATAGATTTGTGACCTTAATATGTTTAATTAATAAAATATTTTTTATTCAATTATTTCATAAACAAAATTTAATAATATTAAATTTTAAACATTTTTTATTAGTTTTGAAATCGGTCAAAGTTAAACTCTTAGATATGAATTTTTTCCTAAAGCCAAATCCACTATCTGAACTCATCATTAACTAACCCTTACCCATATACAATTGGCTCAACCAAGTAAGACACACGTGCAAGGCCTGTTACACGATATAGTTGAGTTATGTAATAATGTATGTATAAGAAAATATTATGTGTTGAGCATTAGTTATATCAAATTTAAGCATATGTTGCTAAATGTTTCGAGGCAGACAACATTGTAAAAAGGGTATATTGACAAATGAAAGATTATGAGGAACAAATTAGCAATATACATTTTACCCTTAATTGCAGAATAAATTCAAATTTCAAAAACTGAGAAACGCAAAAGGAAACAATAAAACCTTCCGAAAGCAAGCTTTAGCAGGAAGTATTAATATTAAATGCCCTTGAACGTGTATAATAGTTCTCTATATCGTAATGTTAACCGCCCTTCCTAAAAAATGCAAAAATACTAAAAAAAATACAAAAATATCTTAGTACTTTTTCAGGACGATTGTATCTTCAGTTGACTCCAAACTTGCGGAGGCAAAACCAGCTATCATCGAGACTAAAGACACCATTTAGACAAGTAGAAAAAAATGCATCAACATATAAAGCGGGAGAGTTAAAAGTAATTAATTGGGATCCGGAGCGTTGCTGGTTTTGACAGCTTCTCTTTGATTCATCTTCATTAATATTCTAATTAAGCCGAACCAAAATTTAAACTTCGGACTCTAAATGTAAATTCCAAATCGCAATTCCCTTCAAAACTTGTGCAATAAACTCAACACCCTAATTAATTTAGCTTCAAAAAGCACAAACCTTGAAAATCCAATTGGAGTTAGCAAACAAAGTAGCTCCTTTCACGAACCAAAACAAAAACAAAAATAAAAACAAGAATAAATAGGTTCCAATTATTTTCACAACTTTACATGACGAAAGGTTATAGTTTTTGTCCATGGATCCCGTTAACTCAGGTACTCGATAACTTAATAATTCTTCTAACTATACAAAATACTCTTGGGATTTGGCCTCTTCCTTCCACCACACCTCACACGTACATAGTAGACCACGAACCCCTGATGGTGGCATTCAATCGCTAAACATGAAATCAAAAGAAGAAGAAAAAGTGATATCCTTATGCTCAAGCCTGTACAATCATCCAGAGTAAATCTATTGCAAATTCCTTCTTGCCATTCCTTAATGAACTTTTATCATAAATGTATTTCACAAGGTAAAGGCATAAATGAAGACATGAAAACACTACGAAACCAAATCTTTTGAGAAGCAAGCTTTGTGCAAGGTTTTCATTAAGAGTCTTAAACCTTATGCTTTATATACCCTTTCTCAAGGATGAATAAGGTACATGCTCTCCGGTATCACAGTTTATAGACTTAACAGGGCTATCATACCATGTGGAGGTACTAAATATTTTGCGTTAAAGCCAATATCGATCATCTTCATCTTTCTTCTATGTCAGCATCTTGAAGAACATCTTTCACTAATAGATGGCATGCCTTAGATGTTAGCTCTTCTGTCCTCCAAACAGAAACTTGATATAGTCTCTAGCTAATGCAACGATATCTGCACCATCGTTGATGTAAACATACTGAAACAAAGTCGACATGTCAAATATGTAACTTTAGGAATAAATAATAAAAAAATACAAGCTCATTATGGTGTAAGGTGGAAAATATTCCAATTTTCAATCGAAACACGAATGAAGTAATGTTCTAGTGGATAGACTATGAGAATCACAACAACAAAAATCATTTTTGGGAACACGAAAGAGGCAACATTTGTTAATTGAGTGTTGTTAAAGAGAGTCTATTGTATAATTTTAATAAGTGAATGTTGCCATTGGTTAACATAATTGAGTTTTGGCAACATTTTTTAAATGTATGTTACTAATGTCATATTTTGCAACGTTTATTGAATGTTATGAAAAGTTTCATTTTTTGTAGTGTTTATTGAATATTGTTAAAATCTGGCTTTACAACAACGTTCAGTGAATGTTGCTAAAAGTTCTAATATATAGCATTTTGCAACGTTTACTAATTGTTGCAAAAAGTGAACTTTTTTGCAACATTTATTGAATGTTGTGAAAAGTTTTATTTTTTGCAATGTTTATTGAACGCTGTTAAAATTTGAACTTTACATCAACATTTGGTGCATGTTGCTGAAACTCTTAATATATAGCCTGTTGAAATGTTTATTGGCTTTAACAAAAAGTTAACTTTTTTGTAACATTCATTGAATGCTGCGAAAAGTTTCATTTTTTTCAATGTTTATTGAATGCTGTTAAAATCTGGCTTTACACCAACGTTCAGTGCACATTGTTGAAACTCGTAATATATGGCCTTTTGCAATGTTTATTAACTAATGCAAAGTGAACTTTTTGCAACGTCATTTTTATAACGTTTATTGAATGTTGGGAAAAGTTTCATTTTTTGCAATATTCATTAACTATTGCGAAAGCGTTCAAAAAAAATTCACTTTTTGTAACGGTCGTTAAATGCTGTGAATAGTAGCCCACGACCTAATTAAAATTCACCCAGCCCATAAGGTAAGGGACTTCTTTTGCAAATTTGTGACAGTTATCCACTTAACTCTCATTGGACCCATTATTTTCATTTGGAGAATGAAAAGAAACAAGCAGGGAAGAATCAAGAGAAAGAGAAGAAATGAGGAGATGAAAAGAAAGAAGGGAGAAAAAAATGAGGAGAAAGAAAAGGATGGCAACATTAATGATGTAGGGTGTTCAATTTCTTCCTTTTAGGGGTAAAGCAACAGATTTGCTTCAATTTGATTTTAGGGTTCATGAAAAATTGGTTTATTTTCAAAGTTTAGAAAGAATTAAAGGTTATTAAGATGTATTTAAGTTATTCAAGAATATTAATGCAAGGACAACTGTATATTGGAAGATTCATGTTGAAGTCATTGTAAATTATAGATTGAATCTTTAAAATTGTTGTAGTTATATGATATCAATCAGTTGATTAAGGATTTAAGGTTTAATTTCTCAGTTATTCAAGAAATTTTAGGTTATTTTCGAGCAAGGTACTTTTAAAATTCTTCCTAGAAAGTGCTATTTTTTGTCAGTGATTTCGGTGATGCTTTCCAATATGCAGAAACTGGTACCACATTTCAATAGTCTGGAAATACAATGCAGGTTTTGGTAGTCTTTTGATTTTCTTGGATTTTTAGTATGAAAACCAATTTAAGTGTTAAATATTGGGGATTATGTGTTAAAATAATTTATATAAAGCAGTATATGTTGGTGACCCTTCTCAGCATTTAAGATTTTGAAGCTGTGGAAAAGAGAGATCAGTTACAGCTTGTAACATTTCTTTTTTCCTTTTCCACTCCATCTTTATAGCTTTTGACCATTTATTTGTCTTATTTGCTTTCCATTATTGTGGTAGGTATGGTCATTATTGACACAATGAGGCATAGTAGACCAGACTTTCTACTGTATGTGTTGGATTAGTGGCCTGGTTATGATATATTACTGCTATTTAATTACAATTTGGTGTAGTTTCTACTAATATTGTATTGCTAACTTTCCTTTGTGGTAGAGAGAGTAACCAAGTATAAAATGAACCTCTGTTAGGCAATCAACTGTTTTCTTTCTTTAAGATTTGTTATGAGATATTTGAAACCTCTTTCTTTGCTGAAAACAGAAAAGAAATAAAAATTGAAGCTTTATTAGTAGTCAGTTCATCTCTAATATTATAATACCAACATATTTTCATAGTAATTGGCAAAGATTGTTGTTTCTTTAGTTCTTCTGATGTGCATATTTGGTGTTTCATCATCTTACTATTGTATCCAGCATGCTCAAAGACATGCATGCTAAGGCATTTTACCTTAAGATGTTTAACATTCTATTGGTGGTTATTTTACTAGCTGAAGTTTCTATACAATTCTCTCTCTGATAATTACTGAAGGAAAAAGGTATAGCCTTCCAAACTCGAGGATAATGGTCCATCGGCCTCTTGGTGGACCACGAGGTAGACAAACTGACACAGATATTGTATCTATTTTTTTTTCTTTTTTAATCATTCCGCTATGTATTTATTCGACTCCATATTATTATAAACAAGGTGATTGTTGTTTCTTCTTTGTTTATGACTTATGTCGTTGATTCTCATGAGGGTTCACAATATATTTTACATTTCTGACTTCTGATTTCTTTTCCATTTTTATATGATCACAATTGCATGTAGAACTTTTCTTGAATTTTGATAGTGAAATCGACTCTTAATTGTGCTTTTCTAAAAGAATTTTTTTAGAAAAGACAGTGCTTGTTTGGTAGAGATTTTTTGATAATTGATTTTTTGAGATAAAGTAGGTCTTATTTGTGAGAGAAGAATATAAAAATGACGGTTGGAATAGTGAAATAACGGTCAAAAAATTGATTTTAATTGGATTAATAGCTACTCCAAACAAGCTCAAATTGTCCAACAATATTTGTTTTTGTTGGTTGGACACTTGAAAAGTACTATAATTTTAAGGTTTTTCTTTTTCTCTAACAGTGAGCATGTGATATTTATTATTTGTGATGTCGGATTTATTATTTATTGTTATTGTATAAATAAATTTAAAGACTATAGTGAAATGAGTTTGACATATGTAGAATAATATATATAAATTTAACAATAAATATAAGGATATAAACATAGATC